AGACCAGGCTGGCCTTGAACAGACAGAGATCCAGCTGCCTCTGCCTCCCGAGTGCTGGGATTAAAGGCAAGGGCTATCACACCCGACTCAAAATTATTATTATTATTATTATTATTATTATTATTTTTTAAAAAAAAACAAGGTTTCTGTAAGGATTAAGACAGATGTTGTCTCAGGCAGCATATGACCCAGTTTCTGGCTGGGAGGAGGGTGTTTGTTGAATTGGTGCTGTTGGTGAGAGAAATGGGCACGCCTCCTCCTACCTAATGGAAACGTCTTCTTTCTCACCCTGCTCCTCTTTCTTCTTCCCAGGTGGCCTGTTCCTTACTGATTACTCCACCTGCTCACCACGAAAACTGAGTCCTTTCCGCTCCTTTGCCAGCACTGAGCTCTTCCACTTCCATGTTCCCGAGGACACGTTCCTGGCTGTTTGGAACCTCATCATCTTCAAGGAGCAGGGAGGAACCTTTGGGGACCACTGCCCAGATCAAAGTGTGACTGTGTCAGTGTTCGGCTTACCCCTTCCCTAGTCCCTGTTTCCATCCCCAGGCCACTTTCCAAACTGGAGTATGACTTTTTGAGATCTAAACTTGCCTCCTGACCATGACCTTGACCTTTATTCAGGTTGAAGTGTGACTGAGGGCCATGACCTCTGTCACCTGACCACTTAAAATTACTGTGTGAGTGCCTCTTGCTCTTATGGCTTGACCCCTCACCTAGAAGAACTTTATGACGTATGTCAGTATAGGGAATCCATTTATTTACTGGTGATGAATAACAGTTCTCTCTCCCCAACCTCATTTTCTACCTCCCACCCACTGCCTGCTTTTCTTCTTTCCTGATTCTTGTCCCCTAGGTATTTCCGGTCTGGAGCACCCCCTGTCATCAATCCCCTGCACACACACTTCCCAGCAGATACAGCTGTGCCTGGAGTTTTCTCATTGACTCTTAGCTGGACATTGCCCAACCGTACCTCAGGCATCTTTAATGTCAGCAGCCCTTTGCCTGGCGACTGGTTTTTGGCTGCCCATCTTCCCCAAGCCCACGGTCACATCTCTGTCAAGGTGGGTTGATGCCTCTCTATCTCTGATGAATGCTCATTGGCCTACTACCCTTGTTCCAGGGTGGGCAACAGCATCAGAGTGGCTGGGGCAGGGCATTGTTAGAGGCTGACAGGTCATCTGGCGGGATGGTCTGTAGTAGGCTTCTTGGGAACCTTAGAAAGACGTGATTCCAGGTAAGCTGGAGAAAAAGTCCAGAGTCTGGAGTCAGGCTCTGGAACTGGGCAGTTGTGTCCCTTCCTATCGGAGGACAGTAGGGTTAATGAAGGGGGTTCCAGGCTAACCAGGTGGAATCTGCTGCACAAACTCAGAACTGTGTTCTAATTTTGATTGATCATAGCCCTAGAACTTCTCTGAGGCCACATCCTTGTCTCTAGCCCATGCATCATTGTTTCTGATAGCTCCCTTACCTTCTAGGAGGCCATGAGAGAAACCCTTTCTTGATAAAAGGAAGCTCTGGGTAGTTGGTATCCTTCCTGACTGTTGCTTCCCTTCCACTGAATGAATATCAGTGCTGATTTCAACACAGCAGGGATTGTTAGTCTAAAGGGCAGGTTGAAAGGTCTGGAAGGTTCTTTGGTCTGGAGTGAAAGAAAATATCACCATGTTTTCCTGTCACTGTTGTGTATAAGATAGACTGGGTTTCCTCCTTGTAGTAAGGCAATATATAGGTTTCCCAATCCTGTCCATTTCAAGAGAGGGAGAGGGTGATGAGCTGACCTCTGTTAGAGTTGGTTGACATATGTGTGGGCCTGTGGTAAGAGTGATGGATAGGGCATGAACAGAGTAAGTACTTACAGAATATTACAAAGCAAGAAAGCTGCTGGTGTTTGGCTATTGAGAATTAAGAGAGACAGAAATTCTCACCAGGTAAAAACTGTCTCTTGGCCAAGTCTGAAGTCTGAGGGCCTCAGAGATCCCTCTATGGGAGCATGCTGAGAGCTCACCTGAAAAAGACTCTGGGCTCTGACTCAAGTCAGAACTAAGGGTTCTTCTACTAGGAGGAATGTCTTCAGAAGTCTTTGGCCAAATCTCAAAGAACCTGTCCCTGATCCCAGCTGTGATCGTGACTTACTTTGTGAGAACTAACAGGAAGAATCCTCTAGCCTCTGCTCTAGTTATCCACCTTTCTGGGTGAGCAGGAACTACCTAGAACCTAGGCCTGGCAGGGCTTATGTAGTGAGGCCTGGTTGAGAGTGGCCAGGGTTGTTTGTTGCTCCAGATTGGGACAATAGGGATAACGGTACAGAGCAAGGCTTCCCAGAACCTAAAGCATAATTCAAAGTGTCTGGACCAGAGGGTGCTATGTAATGAGAAGAGAACCAGGCATGGCATGCCCGTTCCTATCTAGTTAGAGCAAACAGTGCCTGGGGGACTTGGTACTAAGCTGGAGCCCCAGCTAGCCAGCTCAGAGGCATGGTGAGACTAGGGAGAAAAGGGCATGGTTCTATCTTGTGCATTGGAGGTTGTTCTGAACATGAAGATATAGCTCTTCAGTTATATCTGTCTAGAGATTGGTGAGACAAGGATCTTGGGTATGATTCTTCTAAAAATGTGATTACCTTCTGGAAATTTATGAGTTCCTAAGGATTCTTAATTTCTCTAGATCTTAAGACTGTATCCCAGACTTAAGCCTATGAGTTTACTGGCTAGAACATTTTCTAATGTTCTTTCCTAACTTGTGCCCTCTTTGAATCATGGTTGTCCTGACTTCCTGTGAGGCTGGGCAAACACAGAAAGTGATCTGAGCTCAGGAAAAACCTTGGTGGTGCAGGAACAGTCCCAATAAAAGAAGGAAGTACTATTTCTACAGTCCTTTTTTTTTTTTTTTTGTATTTTTTGAGATAGGGTCTCCTTGTAGCCCCAGCTGTCCTGGAACTCACTATGTAGACCAGGCTGGCCTTGAGCTCACAAAGATCGGCCTGCCTCTGCCTCCCAAGTGCTGGGATTACACTACAGTCCTTTTTAAAAAATATTTTATTTATTATTTTATGTGTATGAGTATAGTGCCTGCATGCAGGTAAGTGCACCTGTGTCATGCAGTGCCCACAGAGGACAGAAGAGGCTGTCGGATCCCCTGGAACTAGAGTTACGGACAATTGTTAGCTGCCATGTGGGTGCTGGGAATCAAACCTGGGTCCTCTGCAAGAACAGTCAGTGTTCTTAACCACTGAGCCATCTCTCCAGCCCTCTACAGTCCTTCTTAACTTTGGGAATGAGCTTAGATCTCCCTTTGACTCTTCGTCCTTCAGCTGCTTTGCACGAGTGCTTGGGTTGGATGTTAGGTACACTGAAGTGGATAAGAGATATGGGAGATGCTTTAAGAGGACAAAGAAGAGATGACTAACTCAGCTTGGTAATATGGTGGAGGTGGTATTCACAGACTGTTAGGAAGTGAAGCCTGATGGGGATGAGACAAGGAAAGTCTTTGAGCTGATGGGAGCATCATGAGCCAATGTTCAGGGGGGAAAATGAAGGAGTTCGGTGTGGGCTGAGTGAAGGAGGTGGAAGGGTGGGTAGAAGCCAGATCATAAAGGCTTAGAAGTTTGAACTGTATGCTGACAGTGACAGGGAGCCTGGAAAGGTGGTTCTTCTCTGGTCCAGTCCTCTCTCCTGAATCTATATGATTCATTGTGTATCCTAGCACCCAGCACAGAGCTGGCATGTGACTTGGCAAGTTTTTGTTGTCCTTCTGCCACCATCTCAAACTCATAGTGTCCCAGACTGATTTTATTTCTCCTCCTTTCCTTGTTCCCTTCTTCCTGTCAGCCTCTTCTGTCGTGTCCCTGCCACTCATCCCCTTGCCTTTCCTTACAATGTGTCTTACAATGTGTTTATACTTAGGCACCCACTTACCAGTTTCCTTGGAGTGGTTGGCCTTTAGGATGTGGTTACCAGCTGGCACCTTACTGGCTAAGGTGAATGTTCTCCCAAATAGCTGGGCACAGGTCTTGAAGACTTTCTTTTCCCAATCTAAAATGTGGATGTAACTAAAATCAGGGAAAACAATGAAAGCAGCTAGGTGGAAAGTAAAGAATTAGGCTTCTTAGAAGGCAGGGCTCTATTCAGTCCACCAACTAGGACCAAGCATGACACAATACTATCTTAGCTGCAGTAGTTACATCTGCCAACAGTGCCTCCTCTCCTTGTTAAAAAGTATTTAATTTATTATTTTCATTCCATGTGTATGTGTGTATTGCCTGCGTGTAGGCAGGTGCACCCGTGTCGTGCTGTGTCACGGAGGTCAGAAGAGGCTGTCGAATCCCCTGGTACTGGAGTTACAGACAGCTGTTAGCTGCCATGTACATGCTGCGATTTGAACCCGGGTCTTCTGCAAGAACAACCAGTGTTCCCGCTGAGCCATCTCTCCAGCCCCTCCTTTTCTTTCTCTAAGTTATTTTCTTTGTATTTCAAATAGACAATATATGCACGTGGTATAGCCTTTGAAATGCACAAAAGGCATACAGTGAAAAGTCTCCCTTTCCAGTTCTCCTTTTAGTTCGCAATCTCCCCCGAGAGTTAAGTAGTAACCAGCTTTTAACTGCTTCCTTATATTACTCTTCTTGATCTTTCTCCTCCTGGCCTTCATGACTTTACAGCATCCTCCTGCCTTTCCTGCCCTCTGTTTCTTCCTCTGTTTTCTTTATTTCCTTCTCTGCTTGATCTACACGTTATTATGACTGGATGCTTGGCTCTGGAAGAACTCCTTTTTGGTTTTTCATTCTTTTGTTTGATGTTTCCAGCACAATTGTTTTAAATGTCATCTATGAGTTAATGCCTCCTAAGAGTAGACCACCAGTCCTGTTTTCTTTGAGCCTCAAACTTTATATCCAACCGCTTACTTGACATCTTCAATTATTTGTCTAAGAAATGTCGCGAGGTTAATATGCATAAATCAGAACAAAATTCAAAACTCTTTACTTCCCACTTTATGTCTCCCAGCCTAGGTTGCTCCTTTCTCTAGCTCTCTTCTCCCCAGTAAACAGCACTGCCATTCACTGTTCACACCTCAAATGGAGGTGTCATTCTTGATTCCTGTTCTCTTATTTCCCCACCAATTTATAAAGTCTTGTTGCCTCAATTTAAGACATGCCCTGAATGCACCTATTTTTCTCCACTTTTCTGCTTAGCACATCATCCCTGGTTTTCTCCTGTGCTGCCACAGCCATCTCCTAAATGATGCCCTGCTTCCTCTCCTGCCCCCTGCAGTCCATCCTGTCCTCATTAACTTCCACATTGATTGGTCCTGACTGACTGAGGGCATGAAAACTGTGCTGGGCACTGGGTTATTCCCACAGAGGAAGCCAAGTGTCTTTAGGTATCTTCAGGCTACAAGCCCCACTCAGGGCCTGGTATTTCTTAAAGAAGCCCAGCCCAATTGGGCATGGATACTCAACATCTGTAATCTTAGCACCCAGGAGGCTGAAGCAAGAGGATTGCCAGGAGTTGTAGACCAGGCTGGATTACATGGAGAGTTCAAGTCCAGCCTGCACTACAGAGTGAGATCTTGTCTCTCCTTGAAAGAACAACAATAACAACAACAACAAAACAAAAACAAAAGAAAAAAAAAAGACACTTTCTATCCCATTGACTATGAGGCATGGTGATTTCCCTGATCAAGAGTGCATCTGCCTTGCCTTCTACTTCCTGAATTTTCAGGCTGTTTTCTATCCATTTATCACTTTTGGCTCTCTGGTTTCCTTGCTTTGGGCATACCTTCCCTGGATGCTGATGTTGGCTTGGCTTGTTCACTCAGTTTGGACTCTCTTACTTGGCTTCTTCTGCCTGATTTGTGTTACCCTTTGCCCCCTCGTAGGGGGAGGTCATTGAGCTCCCTTTCCTGGTCTCGAGTCCATGTTGAGGAAGGGAGCAGGCATGCCTATTGGGCATTGAAGGAACACGTATTAGCCAGAGAGCCCACATGTCCTAATTCTTGCCTGAAGCCAACAGCAAGCAAAATGGGGAGCAACTTCTCTCCCAGTACTGTGAGGCAAGGAAGTGGGGCACACCCTGAGCATGAGCTTCCACCCCTGGGACTCATTCCCTACAAGATTATTCTGGATTCCTGCATTAGGTGGGGGGATGTCTCTGAAATGTCTTGCCAGAGTATTTCTGATCCTTACAGGTTGACACCAAATATGAGGTATCTGCTTTGGATGTCAGAGATGGAAATTTCCGAGCAATTAGGTTAAGGAACTCTGTAAAGGAACTCTATTTTGACACCCATCCTTCAACTTGACAGCTATTTTTTTCAGCACCTAGTATGTGCCTGGTGGTGTGCTAAACAGCAAGAAGGCACAGAAAAGCTCCAGGCGGAGAGTGATGGGATCCTCTGACCTGGCATGCAAAGCCTCTTTCCAGCACTATGGACCTTGGTCCAAAAGTCAGTACCTTGGCTGGCTTATTTCATGGTGTAGAATGTGGTAGTTGTCAAGACCTGGAACTTCTGTCCCAGAACAAGGCTTGGAGGCATGTCTTGGTCGGAGCAACCAGAACAAGGCTTGGAGGCATGTCTTGGTCGGAGCAACCATAAAAATAAACCGTGGTCTCTAGTTTATTGAATCAACAAAAGGCCGTTTGTCCAGAAGCTTAGAGAAACTTAATTAAGAGACTCTTCTGCTTCTTAACTGTTAGATTTGCAGGGCTTCTAAGATGGAGGTGCTGTGGAAGGGGAGCCGTAACACTGAAGTGGTGGGGCTCTCTTGGCTGGGATTGATACCAGTATAGAACAGAAGGAACTTTGGAGCTGGTCCAGGACAAGATAAACCTTGGAAAGTATGGTGACTGTTCTTTAATGTCAGAAGAAGCAGTCTGAGGCTGATGATTAGATCAGAATAGTTATGAAGGGGAAAGGTTTTAGCTTCATAAGGTCAGCACTGTCCTTACCTGGGTGGATTCATTTGGCAAACATCCATGGTGAGTTACACTACATTAGGCTTATGTCGGGAGGAACAGTTTCTATTCTCAAGTTCCTAATAATCTGGAGGTTGCTTAGAAGGTGTTAAGTGGTCCTCACCTGGATGATGAAGCAGAAGTTGGACAAGCATATATCAGTGGAGCAAGGTGGGGAATAGGGGTAATTAAAGTTTCAGACTACTGCTAGTGGTAGAAGAGTTAGACTGGAGGCTTAGAAGGAACTTTCTAACTCCCCCAACAGAGCCAGTGTTCTGTTAGAGAATCTGGTGCTGTGGGGTTACAGTGATATGGGGGCTGGCCAGAAATGCTTAGGAGGAGTTGGATTGGGATAATGTACAAGCAGGGTCTGATTATTAGGTAGACCTGAACTTGAGTCCCCAAACCTCATTCAGTGCTAAGACCTTGAAGACCCAGATAGGACAAAGGTAATCAGAAATGACTTCTCAGGGGCCTGAGGAGATGGTTCAGTGGGTAAAAGCACTTACTGCACATATGTGAGGACATGAGTTCAGATTCCAGAACCCTCATAAAGCTGGATATGATAGTACACATCTGTAATTACATCTGTAATCCCAGCACTCCTCTGGCAAGATAGGGGGTAGAGAAGAGCATTCCTGGAGGTTATAGGCTAGCTAGCCTGGCACACACCGTTGTGACCAACAAGATACTCTGTCTCAAGTTGGAAGGTGAGCACTGAATCTGAGGTTGTCTTCTGGCCTCTACATGCACGCTGTGTCACACACCTGCACTCATATACTCATGAACACACACAAAGATAAAAAAAAAAAGAAAATTCTCCTTGAGGTGCTTTTACTCACACTTAGGTCACTGTCTGACTTTCTTCTGAGTGCCTCTTTTTCTCCTAACCCCTATAGTTAAGCCTATATTAAAAATATTTGGTAAAATTTGGTTTTTTAAATTGTAATTATTTTTATGTGTATGTGTGTATTGCCTGATTATATAGGTAAGTGCACCCGTGTTGTGCAATGCCTGTGGAAGACAGAAGAGGCTGTCGGATCCCCTGGAACTGGAGTTATAGACAGTTATTAGCTGCCATGTGGGTGCTGGGATTCGAACCCGGGTCCTCTGCAAGAACAGTCAGTGTTCTTAACTGCTGAGCCATCTTTCCAGCCCTGTAAAATTTGTTTTTAATGATTAGTCAAATAGGAAAAATACAGGACTTAGAGGCCAGAGTCAGAATCCTGAGACTCAGAGGCTAAAGGAGACCCATCCAGCAGGTTCTGTTAGCTTTGGTTTGGTAGTATCCCCAATGTCAATCCCCCTCCTGCCACCCCTGTTTTTGTCTCAGGGTCTCCAGGATGAGTGCCAGTATCTCCTTCAGCCCCAGCTGATTGTCCGACGTTTGCTGGATGTGGCTGTGTTGGTTCCTGGCCGTCCCTCAGAGCAAACCCTCTCTCCCCACAACCGCTCAGCCCTGTACAAGTAAGTAAACACTCTGCAAACCTGGCCCCTGCCCCTTCCTTCTCTGGTCTCACACAGCTGGCAGTCTTGCTTTCCTTGTAGTCAAACTGACCCAGAATCCTTAGGGTGGGTCAGATCCCTGGCTCCTCTGTCCTAACACAGAGAGGAAGACCCTGTAAGGGCCTTCCTGTGTCTTCTTTCCCCATCCATGCCCCTTCTTCCTCTTCTTTTCCTTTGTGCGTCTCTTACTTCTGTCTTTTTTTGCTCTCAACCTGTCCTCTGTCCAGGGTCTTTGTGCCCAGCTTCACTTACAGGGTTTCGGCGCATCTGGTGTGTGTAGGGGGCCGAGGGGTATCTGCTTGTCCCCTGACACTGCGCCTACGTCCCAAGGCCCCTCCTCTACACAACTCAAGCTCTGTGGCCTGTGGAGGAGCCTCAGTATGCCAGCTGGAGCTGGCCCTGCCCCCCTGGGGACACTGGGTCTATGTGCGTGTGGAGATACCATCCCGTGGCTCTGGCAGGACCATTCACTTCCAGCTGTGTGTGCGATTGCAAGGTCAGAGCCCCCACATCCGCCCCAACCACCCAGTCTATGCAGGCATCCATGGCTAGGAGGTAACCTGGATGGATGTTCTATGACCCTCTGCCATAGCCCTACAATCTCCCCTGTCCAACCCAGGCACTCTCCAAGGTCCCACCTCTTGGAGGCTCAGGTCATCAGGCTGCCTTCATATTATTTCTTTGCACCTGGCTTGGGGCAACTAAAAGCTCTCATTATTTTCCTTGTCTTAACCTCCTTTTCAGGTTCCTGGGATATGTAGGGACAGCCAGGATCTCTGGGACTTCCCTAGCCACAACCCTCACAAATTATTAGGACAACATTAACTTATATTGCAGTATTTTCACTGCTTTGGGGAGAGAGACGTGACCTTGATTCCTTCCAATGTGACCTTGTGGAGGGACAGATGACCTTGACACCCTCCAACATGGCAATTGAGTAGCTGTGACCACTAGGAAACACCCAGACCCTATCCTCTGATCCTGGATGCCTCCCTTCTCAGGGGCCATCACAATCTAGTTTTCATTCCTTCCTCTCCTTTGCTAAATCCTGTCTGGCTCAGTTCTGGTTTGTTGTGGGGCAACAGGGCTGTAAGGGCCACAAGTCTCAGGTCTGGTTTCCTCTGTCTTACAGAGTGTCCACAACCCAGCCTGTCCCGTGCCTTGGTCCCTGGGGCTGCCATGAACATGCCCCAGTCACTGGGTAACCAGCCACTGCCCCCGGAGCCACCATCCCTGGGGACCTCTGTAGAAGGATCTGGGGCCACATCACCACCTGAGCACTGCTGGCCAGTGCGCCCGACTCTGCGCAACGAGCTGGATACCTTCTCTGTCCACTTCTACATCTTCTTTGGTCCCAGTGTGGCCCTTCCACCTGAACGCCCAGCTGTGTTTGCCTTGAGGCTGTTGCCAGTGCTGGACAGTGGAGGTGTCCTCAGCCTGGAGCTCCAACTCAATGTGGTACCTCACGGAGAGCAGGGTGGTTTCTCTAAAGGGGAAGGTTCTAGGAGTGTGTGTGTGGGCTGTTTATCCCCTTTAGGGATTCTATCCAGGTTGGTTTCACCTATTCTTTCAGTTCTCAGCACAGTTCTGGTCAACAAGCATGTTCTTAAAGCTGGGTCAACCGAGGTGACTCAGTGGCCCAGTACTCCCAGAAGGTTGGACTCTTGTTCAGGAGGCTTTTCTCAATGGCAGTTCACTTCTGTAAATGACATGCTTATCCCCGCTTGAGACCATGCAGTATGTGTTTAGATGATTCCTGTTGCTAATGGTATTCGTGATGGTCCTTCAAAGTCTGCTTCCATGAATTTCACCAACTGATCTTTGTTTCTTTCAGAAGCTATATCTTGTAAATCCTACTGTGCCTTTGTTTTTCATTAATAGATTTTTTTTTTTTAAGAGCAGTTTTTGGTTTAGAGCAGGAAAAAATTAACAGTAAGTATAGACTTCTCAAGTCTGGGGAGATAGGTCAGAATATGAAGTGCTTGTCATGCAAGCATGAGGACCTGAGTTTGATCACATAAAACTCACATAAAAAAGCTGGGTGTGGAAGCACACACTTGTAATCCGAGCACTGAGGAGGCAGAGACCTAGCCCTGGCTCAGCCTAGTCTAATCTATGAGTTCTAGGCCATAAAAGAGACCGTGTCTCAAAAACCAAGGTGAATAGTGCCTGAGTAAAGACATCTGGGGTTGACCTCTGGCCTCCACATGCATGTGTATAAACATGTATATGCACCTTCACATCCACACATGCACATGCACACGTACATACGTACATACGCATAAAAAGGAAGCATAGACGTCTTGTATATCTCCTTTCTTCCTACAGTTTTCCTTATTATTAACATCTTTTTTCTGGCAAATTTTTTTACATACATAATTTATTGAAAATTTCATACATGTTTACCTTAGTGCTGTGCATTGATTACAGCCCTATACTATTTTAGTAGCCCTTTAGATAGCTTCCCTTACTCCTCAGTGTTTGGGGACCTAGGGTTCAGACCCTCCATCTGCTGCTATCTCCTCTGATCATCTCTTGACTTTCATTATCTCTGACTTTTGCTGGTCATCATGTCTCTGAAACTGATGATGCCAAGTGGTCTGATGAGGGTGGCAGGCAGGCCTTGTATTTATGCAGGCCGAGACCAAATCTGTCTTTGAGTTGTTGCATCATGCTGTGGGCTCATCCCGGGATTGTGGTGGACTAAGATCCCTGGTTCACTTTCCTTTTTTTTTCCAGAACAACTCTGTTTACATTTTTTAAACTCTGAAAGTAGCAAGATCACATAAACTATGGGCAATAGGAGAGGACATTCCCCTAACACAGCTTTTTTCATGTGTCCTTCCAGCCCAACTCTCTCTACACTAACTGCTTTGTGTATCTACTTGTAGTCAAGGGTCATATACATTTTGGTCCCTGGAGCCTGTGAACTGCTGTCAATTTCCATCGTGTAGTTTTTAAAGTATCTTTTTTCTTGGGACAGGGTCTTGCTTTATAAAGCTCAAGCTGACCTCAAGCTTGAAAGCATCCCCCTGCCTCAGCCTCCCAAGTCCTGGGATTATCGGCATTAACCACCATGCCAGCTTATTTTATAATTTTGAAGTGAATTTTTGAACTGAATTGAAGAGTCTATGTCCGCTTGTAGAGCACTGTTTAATCTTTGGCCTTTCATCATGTCTGCTTTGTGTGTGTCACACACTTGTCACCTTCTGTGTTTTAGTCATTATTATGAGTGCTGGAAAAGACTGGGATGAGGACAGAGTCCTGTGGTGGTTGTTAGAGAGTATCTCCAGCTTGGCTTTTATCCAGTAACTTATGTATGATTCCTCTTCCCTGCATCCTTTTGGCTCTTCTGTCCTCCAGGTCTGAGTGCAGGGTCCATGACTTGATAGCCTTTCATGTGGTATGGCTTAGAACTGTCTAGTGGTCCTGCTCATCAGGACAGAGCTGGTTCTTCAGTCTGAAGATGCTCCTTATTTTCATACTCAAGTTCTTTGTTTCTTTCTCGTTCTGTCTATGGTTATATTTATTTTGTGTTTGCTTATTGTCATGTCTTTGGGTAATGACAATGAGGTCCTAATTTGACCTTGAAATTTCAGTACAAGCCAGAGCTCTGTCTACTCATGCTTGTTCTTTCATCCTCAGTGCCCCATGAATAGAGGTCTGCCCTCCTGCAACCTCTCACACTCTCCCCTTTGGCATTCTTGCCATCTTACTGATATGAGCCCCCACTTCTTGTCCATACCTGTGTGCTATAACACTTGCCACACACTTCAGAAAGCCAGTTAGATTTTGAAAGGCATCTCAGCAAAACTGTTCAGATCTTTCCTTTCAAATACTTTGTTTTTCCTTTTGGATCAAGGACTATACACTTGGAGACTGCCTTTGGCTCTTCCTAGAACCACTTTTACTGAGTAATGCTTCTGCATGTTGCCTTCCCTGGCCTTGCACTGAAGGAAGCAATAAGCCATTCCTATGAAACCCACTCTTGTGGTTGAAGATAGGCTGCATAATAGCTTTTTTTGGTTAAAATTTAGCTGAAGAAGGGCAGGTGTGGAGGCAAGAGAATCAGGGCTTCAAGGTCATCCTTGGCTACATGTGAGTTCCAGGCCAGCCTAGGTTACATGAGCCCCTATCTCAAAAATACCAAATAATAGTAATAATTTAGTTGTAGACCATTACTCTGGATAATGCTTCTCCAGAGACCCTGATGAACTGTGACACACTCACAAATTTGGAAACCATCATGATTCTCTCTTTGCTTTGATCATTTTGAATTCATCATCAAATATATGGCTCATGTCTAGGGAAAAAGTTTTATTTTTCTATCCTAATTTAAAAATCTCTCATACATTTATTTGTATACCATTTCAATGTATCGGGCTGCCACAAATCTTTGAATGAGATGATCTTAAGGCATCCTGTTTCCTCTATTTTATTATTATTATTATTATTATTATTATTTGGTCTTTTTGAGACATGGTCTCCCTGTAGCCCCAGCTGTCCTATGTAGACCAGGCTGGCCTTGAACTCTGCTGGGATTAAAGGTGTGCACCACCACGCCCGGCTTGTTTCCTTTATTTTTATAAACAACTCTTTCCATTTATACCTTGGGGTATCTGCTTTCTTTTAATCCCAGCAAGATTGCTACATTTAATCTCTCTGGCATTCAGTTACCACTATTCAGTACTTTGGATCATTTCATCCTTGGAGTTTCTTTCCAAGCTTCTTACCTTCAGCCCCAGAGCAAGCTGACTGAGAACCTTCAGTTGCCTTTGTCCATAACTAGTTTATGCACCTCACATCAGGTGCTCAGACCCTCCTACAAACTAGATAGGATGAGAAAAAGCCTCCCCTTCCGAATGGAAGATTCAGAGTTGGGTCTTGTTCTCTCATTTAGCCTTTGGAAGATTGTGGCTGTTCAGGATCCTATGGTTTTTAGAACTCTACTGAGTAAGAGCTAAATGCAGGGTTGAGGGTGGGGCACACATCAGCAGGAGGACAATTGACAGGTGAGGGAGGGGTCTGGGGTAGTGGTGGTGGGCCCACCTGAAGGGTCTGACAGCCTCTTCTGCATACCTGCCCTTCTCAGAGCTCCCTGCGCCAAGAAAACGTGACAGTATTTGGATGCCTGACTCACGAGGTGCCCTTAAGCCTAGGGGATGCAGCCCTGACCTGTTCCAAAGGTGCGGTGGAGTGGGGAAGAAGGGGAGGCTGGGAGCCCTCACTGAAGGGGGAGGGAGGACAGCGTAGGGGTACCACAAAGCAGGTCCAGACTCCATGCTGACCACTCCTTCCCCTCTCTCCTGGGCCCTTCCCTTCTCCCTTTAGAGTCCCTGGCCGGCTTCCTCTTCTTAGTCAGTGCCACCTCCAGAGTGGCCAGGCTGCGAATCCCATTCCCGCAGACCGGAACCTGGTTCCTGACCCTCCGCTCTCTGTGCGGGGTGGGGCCTCGGTGAGCAACCAGGGGCGCAGTCGGCTGGGTTGAGGTGGCCTGGCCTCAGGTAACTAGGAGTGTGTGTGTGTGTGTGTGCAGGTTCCTGCGGTGCCGCAACGCAACGGCTGAAGTGCGGCTACGCACCTTCCTGTCCCCTTGCGTGGATGACTGTGGGCCCTATGGCCAGTGCAAGCTGCTGCGCACTCACAACTACCTGTACGCGGCCTGCGAGTGCAAGGCTGGTGAGCGGGCTGGTGGGGGAGCAGGCCAGACTGGGCTTCCTGGACTACCTGGCCAGCAGGGGTGCACAGAGGTGCTGGGGACAGGGCAGGGGTGAGCGAAATTGTCTGTTGAACCCACGGCTGCCTTGTGTCCTCCTCCACCCTGTGCCCTCCCCACCGGCAGGGTGGCGGGGCTGGGGTTGCACCGACAGTGCAGACGCGCTCACCTACGGATTCCAGCTCCTGTCCACACTCCTCCTTTGCCTGAGCAACCTCATGTTTTTGCCACCCGTGGTCCTGGCCATTCGGAGCCGGTATGTGCTGGAAGCTGCTGTCTACACCTTCACCATGTTCTTCTCCACGGTAGGGTGGTGCCTCTGTCTTCACTGTGTCCTTTTCCAGAGGGTGGGAAGAGGGGCTGTCTTTCTACCATGTTCTCCACCAACTTGAGGATGGCTGTCACTTCCCTGAGTCTTCAGAGTTTGCTTCCCGTCCTACCATGGCACTCATAGAAAGTCACCGATTTTGTAAGGCACCTTGGGGTAAATGAGCAAAGCTGTTTGCAAGTTAAGGGGACAAGTGTGGGGCTTCAGCTGCCCACACTCTACCCGTTTGGAAGCTGGAAGAGGCACTGACTGAACACACAGGCTGAGACACGGTCCAAATGTGGACTTGTGTCTCCACCTTCTTCCTGCTCTCTGTGTGGACTCTTCACTTTCGCCATGTTCTTTCATAATGTGAGGAGGCTTCTCTACTCATGGCCTCCATTATACTGGGGAATCTCCCTCGCCCCCTCCCCTCCCCCTCGCCCTTCCCTCCCGCT